GGTCCCTGTGCTCTGCTAAGCTTGTTCCAAGTAGATGCTTTAGACCACTGAGCCATCTCACCAGCCCCTCAAGCTGGGCTTGAACTTGCAATACTAGTGAGGTGTGCAGGACCTAGGCAGGGAGGAGGGCACTCTTACCCATGTACAGGTGGTCTTCATTGGGGTCATCTAGGACCTGTTGACACAGCCACCCAGAGCAACCAGGAAGGAGCAGAGGAAAGAAGAGAGGACAACTGTGAGAGGAGGTGGGGCACTGTGCCCACTAAGCCCACGGGAGGGGGGCACCTTTTAGTCCTCTTCCCGGTCACAATGGAAGGCACAGGAGAAATGCAGACACCCAGTGGGCTCCCGGAAAGGACCTGGGGAGCCGCAGGAGCCCAGCCCTGCCCCCAAGGCCCTTACCTACTATATGCGGGTCTCTGACCAGGGGACAGGCAGGGCCACCTCAGTCCTCATGACCCTGAGGCTGCATCCCTCGCCCTCTCTAATTCCATGGGCTCTGAGCTCTTTGCACACTGCTTCCAGTCCTTGTCACCTCAACTAGATGTGTGGCAAATGGGGCCTCCTGGAGTCCCCAAGATGCTTCTAGGAAGTCGATGAGGCAAAACTATTTTCATTTTATGTTTTATTTATTTGTTTGGTGTTTGAAGCCAGGGTCTCTCTCACTATGCAGTTTGGGCTGGCCCTGACCTCACTATGGAGCCGGGCTGACCTCAGCTCACAGAGACCCTCCTGCTGGGCACTGCTCCTCCCAAACGCTGGGACTCAGTCATGCGCCACACCCAGTTTCCCAGGTGATTTTTAAATTTTTCAGTGTATATTCTAATATGGTACACATGAATAATCATAACCCCAGCAAGAATACTTTCAGCAATCATTTTTACAAGTACAAAGGGGTCAGTTTCAAGACCAAAAGTATAAGAGCTACTGACCCAGAGCAGGGATGGCCCAACCCGGCCTTCCAAGTGTTTTTGGAATGTTTTACTGGGGCACAGCCTCATCCTTTTGTTTACATAAACTGTGTGGCTGCTTTTGTCTCACAACTACCCACAGGTGTGGCAGAGAGGGGGTGAGGGGCAAGCCTCATGGTCCTTGGCCTGTCTCCCCATCTCTACAGGGGGACACATCCATGAGATGAGATACAGTGATACAGCAGTAACCAGGGCGTCCAGGCCCTAGGCTCCCAGCCCCACTGGAGCTGCCTGGTGGGAGCCAGTGACCCTGCAAAGGAGTGCAGGTGTGTGCACGAGGGCCGGGGGCCAGCTCACCTCCACCAGTTTCACCACATTGGGGTGGTCCAGCTTCTTGAGGATGGCAATTTCCTGGTACACCTGCTCAATGGGGCCCCGGGGCTGGACGCAGCCACCTGGAGCTGCGCGCGTGCCCCGGGGTGGAGGGCGGCCTGCAGGACACACAGGGACCAGGGTCAAGACGATCACCGCTGCAGAGGCAGCACAGGGGACAGCAAAGGGGAGGGCCCTGGGCCGGGCTGAGTGGATGACGCATGCACGTGACTCAGGACGCCCCCTCTTCCTGTCTCCTGCACTGCCCCCTGAGCTCTCCTGCCATGTGTGCCAGTCCAAGGTGACAAGTAGGGGTTTAGGAGTGGATACTGACGGAGCATACCCGTCCACGCCAGCAATCCCAATATTCTTTTCCTTTTTATTCTTTTATTGCCTTTTGACTTTCTTACAAGTTTATTGTTACTGTTGTTTTTCTCCTCCAACACACTTGAGAGCTGAGGCAGGATTGTAAGTTCAAGCCCAGCTTGAGCAATTCAGCTAGACCCTGTCTCAAAATAAAACAGAATATAAAAGAGCACTGGGGATATAGCTGCGAGAGGCCCTGGGTTCAATCCTCAGCATTAAAATAAAGAAAACCAACAACGTGGTAAATCAATCAATAGCAACATGAAGATGTTACCTGCTCAGAGTTCCAACAAGCAGGATAAACCAGGGCTCTAGTATAAGGAGGAGGCTCATGTTTTCTCTCATATAATTTTTTCCTTTGGGCCCACACCAGAACCTTCCCCAGTACTGCTGGCAGCAGCTTATGCTGGGGCAGGCTCCACCACGCCCACCTGCATGCAGGTCTAGCTTCCCTCCTTTTTGTGGCAAATTTTCTAGTGGGAGCAGCTACACCTTGGTTACTCCTTCAGCTGCCCGTAGGCATGTCAGATTGTTTCCTCGTTCTGGCCATTGTGAATAGGATTGCTATAAACTCATGTCCTAGGGCTGGCCAGATAGTTCAGTGGATTACAACACCTACTCAGGCAGACGCAGGGACCGGAGTTTGATCCCCAGCCTGCTATGCTGGCCCCACCCCCAGGGTGCACTGAGACGGTGACTGAGACTGGTGGTGTGTGCCTGTAATCCCAGGGCTTGAGAGGCTGAAAACAGGAGGATCACTATGAGTCCAATCTGTGTAGTGAGACCCTGTGGTAAATACATAAAAAATAAGTAAACAAACTCATGTCCTATTTAGTGTGGACATATATATGGGGATCAAAATATAAGGTAATTTTTTTTAGTGTTTTATAGAATTTATTACAGTAAGAGACACACTGCCATTAATCCCCCTCAAAACACAGGTACTCTCCTCACTTCAAATGCACTTATCCCAGCATCCTTGCTACCTTGTGACACAGGTCTAGAAACCCTCTTTCATGTCTCCATGAAGTATGATAAATATAGTCAACGCTGCTGCCAGGGCATCCAGCAGAAGGGCAGGCCTGCAAGAAGTCCTCACCCACCTCATTCACCAGATCCGGCACCATGCAACCTCTACCTCTTCCCAAAGTCAAAGTGATCATGAAAAGCACACAATCTGCACTGACTCAGGACATGGAGGCAGCCGCGATGGTGCAGCTGGAGACACTCCTGGAAGAGGACTCCAGAGCTGCTCGGGTAGCGGGGAGGGTGCTGCCATGAGTCTGTTCTCTCTGCAGAGCCAGTGCCCTCACTCTTCACTTCTACTTCTTCAAATAAATTTTGTCATTATTAAAAAAAAAAAAAGGAAGGGTAGCCTGAGCATGGCAGCAAACACCTGTAATCTCAGCACTGGGCTACAAAGTGAGCTCAAGGCCAGCCTGAACTGCATAGCTACAGCCTATCACAAAAAGACAAGAGGGGCAGGGACATAGCTCAG